TTGACGGGGATTATGCATGAACTGTGAGAGTTTGTTTATGGCGAATGAAATGTCTGGGCGAGTGAAGGCTAAGTACTGTAGAGAGCCTACAATTTTTTCGGTATGGAGTAGCATCAACTGTGGGTGACTGATCTGCAAGAGACAGAGGTTCAGTAGCACTTAAAGGTGTGGTCACGTCTTTGGCTTCGTCCATATGATACTGGAGTAGAATGTCTCAGATATGTCTGTGTTGGGAAAGGAAGAGGCCTGTAGGAGTGGGAATGACTTCTACTCCTAAAAATTGATGGAGCATTCCAAGATCTTTGAGAGAGAATTTTGTGCTTAAGGCGTGAATGAAGGAGTCAATAAATTTGGAGTTGTTTCCCGTGATAACTATGTCATCGACATAGACCATAAAATAGCAAGTAACTCCTTGATTTTGATAGATGAATAAGGAAGCATCAGCTAAGGATTTTTTGAAGCTGAAATGAAGGAGAAAGGTAGTAAGTTCGATATACCATGCACGAGGGGCCTGCTTTAAACCATAGATAGATTTTTTTTAGTTTGCAAATATGGTTGGGATATTGAGGGTGAATATATCCAGGTGGTTGGGACATGAACACTTCTTCATGAAGTGTGCCGTGAAGAAAGGCATTGTTTACGTCCAATTGACGTAGGGGCCAGTTGTTTACAAGTGCTATGGAGAGAATAGTTCGAATGGTGACAAGTTTGGTGACAGGGCTAAACGTGTCAAAGTAATCCTTTCCATGTTGTTGAAGGTAGCCCTTGGCAACAAGACGGGCCTTGTATTTGGAAACAGATCCATCCGGATTTCTTTTGATTCGAAAGATCCACTTACATCCGATAGGTGTATGATTGGAAGAAGGAACGAGAACCCATGTCTGATTTTGAAGTAATGCATTGTATTCTACGTCCATAGCATGTCGCCACTTAGGATCTTTAAGCGCTTGGTTGTGGGTAGAAGGCTCAAGGGAGGAGGGTATTGGATGTAGGGTAGTGGTGTTAATGAGATTGGCATTAAAGTATTTTGGGTTGCGTTTGCTGTTTCGAATTGGGTGCTCAAATAAAGCTGCAGCTGGTGGGGATGTTGGAGGGGCCATGTGAACCGGTGGTGGTAAGGGGGAGGAAGGTTGAGGAGATGACGAATGTGGCGGTGGTGATGAAGGAGATGAGTTATCATCATATGTGGTAGTGGAGTTGGTTGGTGAAGTAGAGATGGGTATGGTGTTAGTGATAGAAGATGGAGGACAACAAGATGGATTTGTGGAGGTAGGAGGCACATCAGAATCAATAGAAGAGGTAGAGCAAAACTTATCGGCAGTGGGTAGTGAGAAAGAGGTTTCAGTTTGGTACGGATAGATATGCTCAACAAACTCAACATGGCGAGAGTGATATAAGCGATGAGAGGTAGGTTCATAACATTTATAGGCTGATTTAGAGGAAGAATAACCAAGAAAGATGCATTTCTTGGATCTTGGATGAAGTTTGGAGGAGGAATAAGGTTTCAACCATGGGTAACATAAGCAGCCAAAGGGTTTGAGCTTTTGATATGTGGGAGATGTGTTATGTAGTTTGTCATAGGGTGATTGAAAAGCGAGAACTGGTGTGGGTAGCCGGTTGATAAGATGAACAGTTGTTTGGAACGCATGGGTCCAGAATGTGAGAGGGAGATTAGCATGATGTAACAAGGAGAGTCCGGTTTCAACTATATGTCTATGACGTCTTTCAGCTATGTCATTTTGTTCTGGTGTGTGAGGAGGAGTAGTAAAATGAGATATACCATGTTGTCGGAGGTATGAGGTGAGTTTAATGAATTCTCCTCCATTATCAGTGAATAAAGAGACAAGATGGGTATTATAGTATTTTTCAACAAGGGTTCGAAATTTTAGGAACAAAGTGGAGACATCAGACTTGTTTTTCATTGGGTATAACCAAATATAACGGGAGTAGAAATCAACAAATGTGACATAGTAAGTGTAGCCATCATTTGAAAGTTGTACTGGACCCCATACATACATATGAATAAACAAGTTCCAGTAGTTTAGATGCTTTGAAAGAGTTTGTACCAGAAGGTAATTTGTGGCTTTTATTGATAGAACATGAATCACAATGAAATGAAATTGATGATAATTCATTACATGAAAATCCTAAACGACTTAAAAGGAACTTGAAAACTTTGATAGACGGGTGACCAAGCTTGTTATGCCAGGAAAGGATTGATTGATTGGAGATGATCGTTGAGTTTATTTGTGGTAGCTTGCGAAGGGAACAGATGGTTGCATAGTATACATCATTGACGTTCACTCCCCGCATGAGTATTGTTCCCGTGCGCAGGTCCTTGACAAGAAAGAAAGTGGAGAGAATTTTAACAGAAACATGGTTACATTTACACAGTTTAGCTACTGAGATGAGATTATTTCTTAACTGAGGAACGAATAAAACATTATGAAGATTTAAGGGACGGGAGGAAGTTAAAAGAGTGGAATGACCAGTGTGAGAGATAGATAGGGCTTTACCATTACCCAACACAATTTCATCGGGTCCTCCATATTCTGATAGAGTGTGGAATGATGCGGGATTAGATGCTACATGATTAGATGCACCGCTGTCAAACATCCATGGTGGTGGAGACGAAGAGGAGTTTGCTAAAGTGGTGTTGACCACTGGATTTGATGAAGAGCTCATGTTGATTGTGATGTTGTTTTCTTTGAGAAATCGTGCAAGCTTCCTACAATCTTTAGTTTCATGCCCAGGGATATTGCAATATTGACAGTAGCTAGGATTGCAGTTACTTCTTTGATAGTTGTTGCTTCCATTGTGTTGACCAGGAGGGCGATATGATCTTGCACTTGAGTTATTGTACCTGTTTGAGTTTCGGTTGTCATAGTTGGATTTGGGTGAATATTTGTTGGAGTACTTTTGAGTATTGTTGACTGTGGTAATGACCGGTGTTGGTTGAGTGTCTTTTAGGGTGCGTTCATGATCTACTAGTTTGTCAAAGAGATCAGGAAAAGTGATGGGTGTGTCTCTGATTTTAAAGGCAGAGGAGATATGTGTATAGTCTTCACCTAGTTGTCCCAGTATGTGGACAATTAGGTCTTCGTCATCAACAGGACTTTGAGCTAAAGCAAGATCATCTGCTATGTTCTTCATATCAAGAAGAAATTCAGTTATGGAGCGGGTACCTTTGGGATTGTTTGCCAATCTGGACTTCAATGAGATTATACGAGACCTGGAGACGCTAGCATAACTTTCAGTGAGACGTTTAAATGCTTGTTGTGCAGTCTCAGCAGATGAGACAATTGGTTGGATAGTTTCTGAACAACTTCCAAGTAGAGCACCAAGAATAATTTGATCTTGGCGGAACCAGAGGAGATAAGTTGGGTTTGATTTTGTGTTGTCGGTGGACAGAACTTTTGGCGGCGGTAAGTTTGATTCAGTAGAGTCTTTTATGTAGTCGTCAAGTCCAAGCCCGGTTAGGGTTGCGACCACTTGCTTTCGCTAGATAGGAAAATTGGAGGCGGTGAGTTTGATTGGAAAGTGAGTATGAGTGGCGACTTCAACAATGGACGTCATAGTGCCAATGTTTTAAAAACCGGTTTTTTAGTTGAACCGGTATGGTGACCGGTTCCCGGTTCAACCGGTTCGACCGCCGGGTGAACCGGTTTCTATATTTTTCATGTTTTTTCTATTTTCCTACACATACATACATATAAAAATTATGAATTTGATGTTTACAAGTTCAAACATTAAAAATACACATAAAAATAAGTTGTAGATGAATTCAAATACATTAAAATAACTCATAACCATAAGTTTTAGTGTTTTACATCAATCCATATACGTCAAAAGAAAATAAAGTATAACATCGAAACGAAATATAGTTTTTGATGAATACAAACACATCAAAAGAATTTATAACATTTACCATATGTTTTTATTTAGAGAAAACTAAATAAATTTGAAAAAAATCACCAAAGTTTATTATGTAATTGGTTCTTTTTTCATGTGTTTTTATTCGGTTTAACCGGTTCAACCGGTTTATTTTGACCGGTTCAACCGGTTTTTTCTAAAAACCGGCCGGTTCAATCCGGTTCATAAATCAATGTAAAACCGGTGATAGTTGAACCGCTCCCTCTCGCGGTTTCCGGTCCAACCGGTTCGACCGGCCAGTTCAAACCGGTTGTCAAAACATTGCATAGTGCTTTTGTTTTGAGTGGAAGTTTTGGAGGATCGAGATTTTGGGAAGACTCGAAGGAGCTATATATGCTCTGATACCATATGAAAGCATATAATTGGGAATGAATTGTTATCTTCTATTCAATTGATTTACATGCCTTATATATGCTGAATACACAGTTGAATATGAGCTATTCTATAGGAGAACATATAGGAATTATATTGACTATACAATTTGAATATACAACTGAATAACAATTGGGTAATGCTTGTGCACGTGTTGTGTTCATGAGCTGGGCTATTGTGTGTTATCACTGGGCTCTGTATCTTTGGGCTCTATATCCTTAATAATTATGATGATTGTCCTCTTTGAAAAACATATGCCTTACCACAAAGAAATTGAAAACTCATGTTGGTATTTTTTTGTACTCTTTTATTTGCATCTCTATAAACCCAAAAGATCACAACCAAGACGTCACCCACTGCCCTTCATGGACTTTTAGTTGGGTCTATAAACCCAAAAGATCACAATCAAGATGGTGTTTTGGGTTTATTAGGGAGATATGGGTGTTGGGATGGAGGTAGGCGGGAAGAAAGATAGAGAGGGAGGAGATATATATATATATATATATATATATATATATATATATATATATATATATATATATCCCTCCTTTAATAAACAAAACCCATTTTGGCCACATGTCCCCATTCTAAATTGCCACTTTGCCACGTGTCATGTTATACAACATCCCTATATTTCCCAAAAATAAAAATTAAAATTAACATAAATTAATACAACAATTAATCAGGATTGCACATTTCAAATTCAAAAATCCCTATACTTCCGAATTATATATTATATCAAATACAAAATTCCTATACTTCCGATTGAATGGTTCAATGTTTCAATTTCAAATTCCATTTTTTTTTTGGAAACAAAATCAATTGACGTTGTAAATTTTTGGTTACATATCCTATTTATTTTTTGAATCATTTTAAAGATTTTAAAGAATCCCAAAAAATCAGCATTTTCAATTCAAATTTTAAGATTATACATATCGAAAACTCCAATAATACGTCTTTCATTTGCGTTCCAATTCCAATTGTCGACTTTTATTGTGCTTTCTTCTTCAGCATTAAGCTTTCTGCAGAAGATACATCATAAAAGAAATCCGGTTAGTTCATCTTCATATGTTCGTAAACCAATAATTCTAATCTTTTTCTGAAAATACTTTAATACCATTCTACTTTCAGTTCTTATTTCTTTCTTCAGATGCATCCTACTTTACTCATCTATGTCTAGTTCGATTTCTCCATATATGTTTTGATTCACTGATTTCATATAGATTTTGATGTGTTTATTTTGTTTTCTTATTTTTTTTTCTGTATTATGATATGTAATAATGTCGTAAGAAAATTTCCAATTATTTTTTGCAAAGTTTATAATTGCATACCAGATTAACTTTGGTCCATTTTGATATATAATCAAAGAAATGTGAAGAATATTTTTTTATTAAATAATAGCTACGTTATCCATGAATGCACTGTATTTTTTTTTTCTTTCAATTTACTTACCGAACCAATTTTCTTCCGGTTTAACCACTAAGAGTTTGGTTTAAAATTAAGTGCATTCATGGAAAACGTAACAGGTCTGATATGTTTTTTTTTTTTTGTAGTGTCCAATCTCATTGTTTTATGAAATGCTAACTCTAAATATGAGTTGATATGTATAATCTTAATAAATCAGATTGGCATTTTCATATAAAGTTGATATATATTATTAAAATAAAAAAATACAAATATTGGTCCATGTTAAATTTTATAGCAATGTTCTTTCAAATAGGGGCAGTTTCGGTAGATTTTAAAAAACAGGGACCAATTTCGTCATTTATCAAACAGGGACCAATTTCTTCCGGTTTAACCACTAAGAGTTTGGTTTAAAATTAAGTGCATTCATGATAAACGTATGTATCAGGTCTGATATGTTGTTTTTTTTTTGTAGTATCCAATCTCATTGTTTTATGAAATGCTAACTGTAAATATGAGTTGTTTATAAACTAATAATAATAAATCAGATTGGCAATTTCATATAAAGTTGATATATATTATTAAAATAAAAAAATACAAGTAATGGTCCATGTTAAATTTTTATAGCAATGTTCTTTGAAATAGGGGCAGTTTCGGTAGATTTTAAAAAACAGGGACCAATTTCGTCATTTATCAAATTACAATGTTAAAGGTTGGAGTATATTCTTGTGAATGTGAAAAATTATTCTTATGCATATTTTTTTATAACTATTAAGAAGCTTTATTGAAACATGGACAACTTGGACCATTGTGCCCCATTACAAAAATTTCCATTCTACCATTGGCATAATAACATATTACCTTTTTAATGAGTAATTTACACTACAACAAAAATTTATCACAGTTACAAAGTATGTTGCCCAAATACAATATTTTATTTTCATTTTTCTAATCTGCCCTAATATATCAATTTAGTTTCCAAGTATATTTGTATTTGCACATATACTTAAATTTGAAAAATATGTCAATATAAAAGATGAAAGTAAACAAATTTACTTATGTTTTATATTTGTTCATGTAAACTTAATGCATAAAGGGTAAAACAGTAATTTTTGCAGTCCATGTTTGTTTATGTTGATGTGTATGTATCTGTTTATGTTATTGGTACATGTATCACATTATTAACATATATTGTGACATGTATAGCCTGCAAGTTTAGAGTCTTTGAACGATGGACCATCCGACTCCAATTCCCAAGAAAAAATAGTTACCAAGGTATCATATAACACACTAATATAATGCCACTATAAGTATTTTACTTCTTGATTTTTAACATAATATGGTTTAATTTTATGTTTTAAGGATTTGGTTTCACATTCCGATGAAACTGTTACACTGTCTACTGGGAATATTTTGACACCTACAAGTTCTCATCATATGAAAACTACTCCGATGAATTTAACACGCAAGTTTGAAGAAGTGTATGATGTGGAACAGTATTCGAATTCGTCATCAACAAAAACACCGCGTCTTTCAACAGGAACCGGAGAGGAAATCAAGCTTTTGATACCAAAAGTTGAAAAATAAGAAGAGAAACGTTTATATTAAAAGTTTTTGCTTTAGGTTTATTTATAAGTACCCATGAAGTTTTTAATAATTCTTGCCACTTGGTGAATAAGTTAGTATAACATTGTACTTTGAAAAGTACAATTCATTACTATTTTGCATTTATGGATTTTAAGACAATTATGTTTGGTTTGGTTTTACCTTTATTGAATATTGTTATTTTTTTTTAAATTCGTTTTAATATGAATTTATACTTGTGCCTAAATGTTAGGTATGATGAAAACACAAGTAAAAAAAAAAGTAATAAGTTACTCTTTGACGAAAGAGAATTAGGTGGTGCAAAATAAAACAATAAAAAAGTTAAGAACAGTAAAAGGTTACCTTTGAAAAAAAATGGTCATGTTTGCGAATATTATAAATAACAACAATGACACTGCTATTTTGCCATCCATGCTGAGGTAGACAAGATGTAGTTCCATGGCATATCTGTTCATATATAATCATATAGTCAAGGAAATTGCTCAACAAGTAAGGTAATTATCTTAGTAACAAATATTTGATTTAATATGTGATTTTATAAAAGAAAATTTAAATGTTTAATACCGTAATCAACTAATTTTTAGTATTATACTTACACCCCTGTCATATTTGGAAAAGAAAAAAAAAGCAAAAGATGTTTGACAAAACTAGTTTTAAAAGCTACTTTTGGAGTTTTGATATAAGGAAAATGAACTTTTTGGAAAAATCAGGAAAACCTGACTTTTTGTAACTTTTCGAAAAAGGACTTTTTGCCTGTGAAAAGCTAAGCCAAACACCCCTTAAACTGAGGTATTTTTAAAAAATCATCATTTTCCTTAATTTCAAAATACATGATAAAGGAAATACTATATAAAACCAAAATTTCAGATGTTTTATTTTGAATTTTACGCACATTAACACTAAAAATTCAAAATTCGATTTTCAAATGCAATCACCTAAACAATTTAATAAATACTTAATGTGGAATCTATTCATACAATTATTTGTGCATCTTCTACAAAGAACGAAAATTTTTGATTTTACCTTTATTCCTCTTCTTCAAACGTGTTTCAGCAACGACGCCATTATTTCTTCAAAACCATTTTTCCAGATTTTGACCTCCATCCAGATATCTTTCTTCTCTACTCTCTATTCATTCCTTATTCAAAAACAAAGTTGCACCCAGGTTGAAAAAAAAATAAAAAAATCGCAAGGTTAGAATAGTTTAGGGTATTAGGTTATGAAAATTCATTTTATCTGAAGAACCTGTAAGTTGTTTTAAAACGCAAATCCAAACGATTATTTATAATAGAACTTCACCACAATATCATATTAACTGCGGCTTGACTCCGCCGAGTAGATTTGGCGAAACTGCTAGATTTCTATTCCTTCCCCTTTAGACAAATTAGTCTATTCATCTGTTCGTTGCCACATAAAGTTGTTTTAGTAGAGTGAGTTACAATTATAGTCCCTAGACTATATTAACATAAATTTTTGGCCCCTTGGCTTTCACTTAAACAATACATTTTTAAATGTAATTAATTAAGAAATATGATATTATTTCCAATATATATATATATATATATATATATATATATATATATATATATATATCAATTTGCAAATGTATAATCCAATGTAATTTTATTTGAATGTGATTATTTAACTCTCGATATATTATAACATCTTTACAAAGAAATATCGACCAGAAAAATAGGTTATGTAATGGTACTAGACTTCAGGTGGTATCATTGGGTAATCGTGTCATAGAAACAGTGGTCTTAACTGGAAGTAACATTGGACATTGAGTTTTTATTTCAAGGTTGTCTTTAACACCTTCAGACAACAAAATTCCATATAAGTTCAAAAGGAGACAATTTCCCCTAGCGGTTTGTTTTGCTATGACCATAAATAAAAGTCAGGGCCAATCGTTGAAAAGGGTTGGGTTGTTTTTGCGAGAACCGGTTTTCTCACACGGTCAGTTATATGTTGCTTTATCGAGAGTAAAGAGCAGAGAAGGATTGAAGTTATTGATTTTAGATAAAAATGGTAATTTGACTAATAAAACTTCCAATGTTGTGTTCAAGGAAGTATTTCAAAACCTATGTTAAACTCTTATGTTTGTTTTACTTATCAAATAAAGTTGTACTTATTTACCATCAAGAATCAAATGCTTTTTTACAGTTATTAATTTTTTTGGTGTATAATTTTTTTTTAACTTACCTCCCGTGGTTTCCACTAGTTATAACCTAGTATATATATATATATATATATATATATATATATATATATATATATATATATATATATATATATATAGAGAGAGAGAGAGAGAGAGAGGCTCATTGAAAAGGCAACATCATCAAAGGAGAAGGTGGTTGGTGACATGGAAAGGGGAAGGGGAGAGCGATGGGGTTGGATGTTTTCCTCTTTTATAAACAAAAAATAATAATTTTTTAAAAAAAATGATAAGGGTAATTTCGTCATTTAGTGTATGCCAGATACCGTTCCTTGACAAAGACAAACATTAAGAACAATTTGTGTCCAAATTGAAAAGACAAGAAAATACATAACAATAGGGATCGTTTTTGTGATTTACTCTCCTAATTAAAAAGTACTAACAAAATCATATGTAAATTCATCAAAAAAATGACCACACCGTTATAAGAAATATAGGAGAATGACCATTTTTTTTTATCTATTTACCGAAATGATCATCATGTCTGAAAAGGGCCATTTTCGACTAAGAGTATGTTTGAAAAAAAGTTGTAAGTTGTTAAGCCTTTTATAGCTTTTATTTGTATAAATGTTTTTGGCAAAAGCAGTTTTAAGTTTTTTTGAAATATGTAAAACTATATAAAAACTAAAATTTAAAAACTTCTAAAATGGTAAACCGCATAATCTAAACGATTCATATTGAACCCGCTGTAGGGTATCACATGAGAAGTCAATTGTGGAACACTAAAAATATTTTAAGTATGTCACGATTTGAACTATGGATCTCATGTGTGAAATTTCGCATTTCAATCACTAAGCTCACATCGCATGGGTAAAGAATGCTCATAAAAATTTAAAAGCTATTGTTTAGTTGTTTGGATCAGAATTTTTTTGATCTAATGAAATAAAAGCATTAAGTTCATATTTCAAAACAAAATTTGTCCTTTTATTCGAGATTTTATTTAATTTAAAAGCCAAAAGCTCTTAAAAATTTGTTGCTAAACACACTCTAAAGATGTATGCCTCATCAAAGGTACATTTCTGAAGAAAGAAAACACATATGGATATGAAATTCCGCCCTAAACATCACGAACAAAGTAAAAAGAAACTTACTTTAGTATTTCTTTTTAGGGTAAATTACACCAATCGTCCCTCGTGCATATGCCAAAACCCACATTTAGTCCCTATTAACTCGGATTGTCAACGTGTTTGTTTTTTCTTGCATGCTTAGTCCTTATCGACGTTAACCATTAGTTGTTGCCATTTAAGTGCCCCACGTGCCTTGCATGCATGGGTGTTTTCGTCTTTTCAGGTCTAACCCCATCTCAATTCCTTAATTGTCCCTAAATCACCGTTATGTATTTCTATTCTTCCCACCCACACGCTCAGACCTCACCGGAAATGTAAGAGTAGGGTGGAATTACCATTCCTGACACAAACGGAATCCACGAGTCTCATACGTGGTACGATGGATAGATGAGAAGACGGAGATTGGAAATCGACCTCCATAATCAAACCTCAGAAATGATGCTTAAACCTCACACCAGCAATACCAACAGAGCGTTTGCAACGATAGGCAGCAAGCGTCTGGCACTCCGGCTAATAGGGATGAGCAAAGGAACCGACCCGGCTGGAACCGGCCCGAACCGGACCCGGCCCGGGAACCGAAGTCGGCCGAAATTAAGAACCGAACCGGACCGCCGGTTCTACCTGTTCCGGTTTTACCGGTTCCCGGTTCCTGTCGGTTCTTGCCGTGTCTTCAAGGTTGGAACCGGTCATCGAGAAATAGCAACATACGGTTCCAGTTTTTGCCGGTTCTCCCGGGTCCGGTTCCCACCGGTTCCCGTTTCCAAAAATCCACAAAAATATCGTCCTGGTCCCGGCCCGACCCGACCGGTTCCATCGGGTTCTGGTTCCGGTAGCCCCACTGTCGTCTTGAAAAGCGGAAAAGATGAGCCTTAAGGGATGAAGCAAATGAGCCAGTCAAATGTTGGAGTAAACTCATGAATTCATTTGGGTTTTTTTGGAATACCTTGGGGAAAATGTGTAGATGATGAACAGTGGACGGTATTGTGGTTGTTTATATTGGCGAGATTTGTCGATGGAAAAATTTGGCAAGTCTATTGTGAAAACAGAAGACTGGAAGAGGATTGAGATTGGGGGTTGAGGAAAGTATAGGAGGAGGAGATTACGGATTGCATTTTATGTGTCAAATTGGAGGGTTCCACCAATGTTTTGAGTATGTTAGAACTTTGGTCCTTCAACTATTTACTCATGTACATTTCTAGACCTAAAAAGACAAAAATACCCCCTAAAAAGACAAAAATACCCCTGCACGCAAGGCACATGGGACATTTAAACGGCAACCACTAACGACTAATGATGATAGTGACTAACCGTGCAATAAAATGACTACTCAATGACAGTCCGAGTTAATTTCTGAAAATAGAGACTGAACGTGTTTTTTGACAACTACACCAGGGACAATTCCTGTAATTTACCCTTCTTTTTAAATGTATGAAATCCAAAGAACATATCTAAATTTTCACGAAAATAATTCATTTTTCACATAATTCTAACAAACTTAAATATCTAGTTTAATTTAATTGAAAGAAACGGTGATGGTAAAAATCATGGATTTAAGAACAAGAGAGAACCTTTTATAAGTAATTTGTGTAAATAAGGAAAAAAAATCAGATATTATGTTTCCGAAATCCAAAATGACCAATTTCAGATGCGTTGTCATTTTTGGTAGTGGATAAATATTGAGGAAACTGAATAATCTAACCGTTTTTCAATGGTATTTTAAAAACAATAACATTTTTTTTTTGAAAAATAACCAAGAAATGGTAACGTTATAGGATCCGACTCGGGTTTTGTGGTCCCCCTATAAATACCGTTTCGGAGTTCATTTTGGACGTTATTTCTCGAACATACATTCCAGAAACCGTTCCAAACTGCTACAACCTTCATTCCAGAGACCATTTCGAACTCGGTAATTCCCAAATGTCTTCGTCTAGCGGTGAAAAGTATCACATTTATATGGAAATTTATAATTATACGTCTTTACTACAAATTGTATGTTAAAACCTATATAATTTATGCAATTATATAGGTTTTATTTGTTTTCGATGATTTTTAGTGATTTAAAGAGAATTATAGGATTAAATTTAGTTATATATGTATGCTACATTGAAAAATCTCACAATTATCCTTATTTTGACTCGTCCGAAACGAATCTAGAATCTGTATAACACCTCCAAAATATTAAGATCTACTCCGGAATCTGACGAACAGTTCCGGAATATGGATATGGAATGTTATTATCCGGAGTCCGTATCCGAAAATGGGTTCCGAAATTTTGATCCAAAATTATGATCTGAATATGTGATCCGGAATAGTGTATTCCAGAATTGTCCTTCCGGAACATACATGCTAAATTGCATAATTAATGATTCTTTTGATTGTATCATGATAGAACATATGAAACGGTTGTCATTAGAACTTGTAGGCCTGAACTCCGGCGGGAAATCATGGCCCGGTTCACATGTCGATGGGTGTAGAAAGTCACTATTTACTCTGTCACTATGTTATGTGCAAGGAATACTCTACTTTAACTCCAGTTGACCTACAGGAGCTTCTATTTCCGATACACAACTATCGGGTTTGCTTCGATAGGAAAACTTTATGTCTGATTACCGGCTTGCGGTTTAAAGACTATTTCCCCCAAGTTCTGATTTTGCACAATTTAGACAACGTGAATTTCTATTTGTGTCGGCTTCACGTTCGGTGAGAATAATTGAGCTTATGCATGTGTTCAATGACTTACTTCATCAATTAGGTGATGCAGACGCGGTGAAAGTCTCCCTCTTGTATATGCTAGAGCAGGGATTTTTGGGGAAATACCCTCGACAGCTGGTTACTAATGAACGTCTTGCAATCGTCTCTAATTTAGACGCGTTTAACAGGTATACAGTTATTTACTTACATTAGATCAAATGATACACATACTTATTAAGTGCAATTGTTAACATAGGTACCTATGGGGCAGAGTTATATGGTATTTCACTTACGTACAACTACGTAATGTCTTTGATAAGACCAAGGAGCATTTGAACCCCATCGAGGCAAGAGTCGGCAATAAACATATAAATATATTGTGCAGGGATTTGTCTATGCATTTAAGGTATGTCGACTATGTTTCATAATAATTTTTAAGAAACAAGTATTGTAAAATGTTGGTTAATTGTTTTACATCTTAATTTTGTAGATTTGGATCATGGAGACGTTTTCCAATAGTAGTATAGTTGGTTCCCCTATACCGGGTGCTATCCCTTGGGTAGTTGCATACCCTGCGATGAGGCGTTTCCATGCTGCTAACTGTGAACGTATTCTTGATGTTAGAAATGTATGTAGCTTAGTTCACATTATAATCTATAAGTTGCTATGAGAAAATAACATAAAATTAACCTTTATATGTTGTTTTATGCAGTGTCCCCCCAACGAATTGTTGCAACCTACTCTGCAGGAGTGTGCTACTTTGTGGTGGAGTGAGAGTGTCACGTGGATAGATGCGGCAGATTATCCATATATTTGAGTTATGGTTCTTTATTGTGCATGTTTTAAACAATTTCCTAATCACCATGTACCAAAAACAAGTTTATCCTTCTAAACAACATTTTGTAGAATGTTATAATTTTGTACAAACATCACTGTGGGTTTTTTAGATCAACAATTTCATATTGTTGACTAATTTTTTTTAAGTAGTTTTAACGTTAGATCTACTCTTAGACTTAACGTTACTTTTGACACTTGACTTGGTCCTACTAGAAGATTCAGTTTTTATTGAATTTGTAGGAAACTGAGCGTCACACTTTCTGCTTGTGTGACCGATCCTTTGGAAACGGCTGTATTTTTTCTGAATCGGTCCTTTGCCTTGGGATGGGATACGGTTATGGTTTCATGGTTGTTTGGCTTGTCGTTTGTCCATCAATGGTGGTAATACAACCATGAATTCATACGGTTGTTCGTATTCAACTGGACTGGCACATGAAACACAACCTCTATATATGTTGATCGATATGTTTCTAGTGTGAAGTATGATGACACCCATGTACTGTAGTGTTGATGTGACATCCCCATTTTTACGGCCAGAAAAGACCGATTTTGTTTATGCTTTTTAATAAAAATCAGAGTAACTTCTTAAGAAAAGTATTGCGGAACTTGTTCCCAAAACAAAATATGATATAAATTTTATCAAAGCATTTCTTAAAGAAATGTATTTTCATTACATTACAAAAACTCGGGATGTCAATCATCGATACAGACCATAAGCATAAACCAAAAAGAAATAAACATTCTAGGCCACAAAACACAATCTGGCCTCAAATCCATAATCTCTCGTCAAGTCATCCAACTATGCTTTTACCACTACCTGTAATACAAGAAAACTGAGTGGGTCAGGCTGGGGAGCCTGGTGAGCATATAGGGTTTTCAACCCACAATAATAAGTTCATTATTTATTTTCATCAAATCACTAACCCGATTACCCGTTCCCGTTATCCTCACTTTACGTCCCTAAAGCATCGGTTATAAGGGACCTATCCTAAGGAATTTCATCGGGATGGGCACTACTGCTAAGGGGATTCCTCAGCCATATGTGTCCGTAAGGCAACCATGGGGGGATGGAGTACATCTTCAAAAAACACCTACAGGTTGCGAGCCCGCTAGCATTCCACTGGACTGCCTAGAAAAGTCTGTGGTCGTCATCTATACTCCGCTAGACGACTGGATCATCTTAAACACCGTAAAACATCGAGGCCTCTCATCATTTTAACACACATCATCCATTTCATCTACCCATTGTTCTACCCAACATATTTGTAAATATAAAATACATACACAGTCCAGATCTGAAAAACAATGTTTACATCTTTCATCCAGCATAACTTTCAAAGCATAAAATATTTATATAGTATAGATCTGAAAAAAATAATGTTTACATCTTTCATCCAGCATAACTTTCAAAGCATAAAATACATATACGGTCTAGATCTGGAAAAAAAAAGTTCAGATCTGAAGGAAAGAAGTTCAGATCTTTCGTCCAACATAGATGTCACACCCCAAAACCGAAACAGCGGAAACGTTCTGGGGCGGAGGACGTCATGCGTAGTATCACAACAATTGTATCATAGCAAGCATAGTAAACACAACCAGACATTGAATACATATATGAAAAAGGTTTACATTGTTTAATACATAGTTTTGTTCATATCAAAAGTAAAATGGAAAGACGTGACTCTAACGCTCCGACTTCTCCGAACTCCTGGAAGTACATGTCTACTAATTCCCTGAGAATACAAGCAGTTTTGAAAGAATATCAGCATAAAGCTGGTGAGTTCATAAGCATTTAGTTTTGGTGGAAAAATGTTCTTTGAATCCTTTTGAAAAGTGTTCCTCAAGAAAATCCTATATTTTCTTATGAAAAGCATGTTTGAAACCCATTCCTTCCATGACTTCCAGATTCATACAAGATATGTACAATCCAAGGAATCATGGAATGAATATGAATATCTATTAGTAGAAAATAAACCATCAGTTTTGGAAATGCCAGTGTTATCCTGGGAAAATCCCACATTTTCCTAAAAAAACATTTGTCCGTCCTAGAGGTAGAGATGCAAGTTTAGAAATCCCTGATTACTATCAGTATATAAGAAAGTAGCTTTATTACTTAAAATAAAACAAATGAAGAATAGAGTCCGTAAACCAAAGTTAGTTTATACTTATTTGCGAGTCGTATAACCATACTTGATATGACCTAGAGACCTTTATAACGTTCTTCAGGCGTTTAAGCTAAATGACATTTGTCCACCACAGGCATGCCTGCCTAACTGTAGCTAGCAGTTCTGGTGTGGGATTGTCAGTCCCGAATAGATCTATTCACAAATCTCACGCTCTCCCTCCAGGAGACTCTGGTTATACTAAGATAGGATTTATCACTATACACCTAAGGGTACAGTATTGAAGTAGAGCCTCACAATTTTGTATAATCTAGTTTACTAGCGAGAAACAGTATAAAACAATAATTATCCTTGAATACTAGTACTTTATACTCCTGAGGAAATATATAACATAAACTAAATCTGCCATAGTTTATATATATTCATTTATGAAATCTGATTAGGTAGAAACTGCCTAGAGGGTTATCCCAAACTATACCCATTATAGTTTATTAGAGTTGATATGGAAAATGCTTTGTAGAAACCTTTCTAAAAGCTATGAAGTTAAATTTCCAAAATAGAAGTTTCCCTTATGCTCAACATATTACAAAAGAGATAAAATATCTGAATATGTTATTAAACGTGGAAATCGTTGGACTGCATTAATAAGTTTAAAACCTAATAAAATACTTTGAGTTTGGCTTGTATTCCCCCCCTGAAAACATTAAAAACACGGAAAATGTAGGGGTATGAACTCACCTCGGGCGGTTTGAATGAAGGATCGATACGGAATGCGGGATGTTCAAGTGAAGCCTTGAACACGATTTGATCCTAATTAACACGTAATGACACATAAAGGAGTCAAATGAAGGTATTTCACCACTAGATGTGATGAAGAACCACTCTAAGAACTTGGGACTACTCGCACTAAGTGCTAGGACCTTAAAGGATTGCATGAGGTAGGTGTATGGCCACCTTAAAGGTGTGTACGGCCATGGGTGTGCGGCCGTACACTCATGTTGGAAAGTGTCTTTGAGGTGATTCAAGGTCCATTCTTGCATCCATGAATTGTCCTAGGTCCATACTAGGTTGTAGTACAAGTTTAGGGTCTTAGAAATGGGTTTGTGGTCCTAGGATGTGTGTGTGGTCGCATAAAGGTGTGTGTTGCTGCACAAGGGAGTGTGCTGCTGCACACAGGAGTGTGCTGCCGCACACAGGAGTGTGCTTCCGCACACATGAGTGTGCTGCCGCACACAGGAGTGTGCTGTCGCACACATGAGTGTGTGGTCGTACACCCATCAAGTTTTGTGTCCAAAAATGCCATTTCCAAGGTGTAACAAAGCTAGGGTCATGTCCAACTCAAATATGGAAGTCAAACTCTCACTTTGGAAGGTCTTTTAGGAGTGTGAGGCCACCTTATGTGGGTGTGCGGCTGCACTCATTTCCAAACACGAAGAACATGACGAATATTGCACACTTTAGGCTTAGATAGAGTGGTCTTTCATGGTTTTTCAAGCTAGAGGATGAATTACTCACGTTCTTGAAGCTTTGGAGGGTTTGTGGTTGAAGAAGCTTGAGAGAAATGATGTTGTGTGCTGCCAAGGTGTTAAAGGTATGAAAGGAAAGGGGTCTACCCTTTATATAGGGGTGTGAGTGCTGTCAAAAAGTGAGTGTGCTGCCAAGGGAGTGGGTGTGCGGCCGTACACTCCTCTTAGAGGTGTGTATGGCCCGGTTTTCTCACTATACGACACTCTGACTCATTCCTAAACTCAACCTTGGTCATAATCAAGCTTAGAACACTTAAATGAACCCTTAAACAGTACAAGAAATCAACAAAACAAGTTGAATATTGACTGAATTGACTAAGTGTACAAGATAGATGTTCCGAGTTGTCACATCATCCCCCCGTTAGAGGGAATTTCGTCCCAAAATTCAAGAATAGAGTACAATTCATGGACTAGGAAAGAGGTGAGGGTACTTCTGCTTCATCTAATCTTCGCGCTCCCAAGTGAATTCAGGTCCCCGCTTGGCGTTCCAGCGGACTTTTCACTATCGGGATGCGACTCTGCTTCGTACCCTTGACTTCTCGGTCCATGATCTCAACAGGTTCTTCCATGAAACGTAGGCTTTCGTCTAGATCGATATCGTCGAGGGGAATTACAAGTGTCTCATCGGACAGACACTTATTTAGGTTCGACACATGGAAGACAGGATGGACGTTGCTGAGTTCTCGTGGTAACTTAAGTCTGTAAGCTACGGGACCGATCCTAGCAAGGATCTCGAATGGTCCAACGTATCTTGGGTTTAGCTTTCCACGTTTTCCGAAACGTATCATGCCTTTCCAGGGTGAGACCTTCAGAAGGACACGGTCACCAACCTGGAATTCCAATGGTTTTCGTCTCTTATCGGCGTAGCTCTTTTGTCTATCTCGTGAAGCTTTCAGTCGTTCCCGGATTTGTATAATCTTTTCGGTTGTCTCTCGGATGATTTCAGGACCAGTGAGAGTGCTGTCGGGGACTTGACCTTTGGCTAGCTGCGTGTCACCCACCTCAGCCCAGCACAGAGGGGATCTGCACTTACGGCCATAGAGGGCTTCAAATGGCGCAGTCTTGATGTTGGTATGGTAGCTGTTGTTGTAGGAAAATTTGACCAA